ATAATTTAGAAAAAATCGACAAACTTCTCTTATTTTTGCCATTATTGAATCCATAATCGATAAGAAAAGTTAACAGATTTGCGGAAAAAAATCTGAAACATTAATTAAAACGTGAAAAGCGCAAATAACTCGTACTAGCGCCGCATTTACGAGCGATTTCTAATCCGCAGTTGCCACTGACCGCGAACCATTCGTTATCACTTCATATAGGAGGAGAGACAAAATGTGCAGCTAAACTCCCCAGAAATTCCTTCGAGTCACACTGAATATTCCTCATTTATTTGTATTAAAATGTCGAAAAGTAGTCGCCGATTGGCCATTAAAAAGGAAAGCTTCATAAACTTTTCCTCGTAAAATTGTCACAAAAGATTTTGATGGAAAAAATTAGAAAACGCAGAAGAACAGTGTAAAGCTGATTCCTAGCGTTTCACTATTCTCAGTCCGTTCGCTGGCCATTTAACAGGAAAGCGTTAATTGGTGTCCATTTAATATAATGTAAGGAACGTAGCGTAACCCGTAAATATTTAGAACGCCAGAATGCGAAAAAAATGATCGGATAAAGCAAATGGTTAAGTAGTGTCGACCGACGATTAGACGAACGAAAAAATCGTCACAAATTTGTTTATCAACTCTCACGTCTCTCCATTTTGCATGATCACTATTAATGAATCCGCCGCAATAATTAGCGCCGACATTATTTATTCATACTAACATGTGGCATAATGGTTTATGATGAAAATTTGTATAAGAGCCTGGTTGGCTATTAGTGGGATGAGGTAATTTTGGGGTGAAAACAGGTCACTTAGGGATTAGGGATACAGTAAACCCCCAGTACCACGCGGATTTTTCAGTCACTGTTTTATTTCTGTCGTACTCAGCTTCCAAAACTGCATGGTCGCGACGATAATTTGAGTGTTAGTCACTCGGCTATTCCCACCGCTGTGGAATTATCAAAAATTCTTTTTTCGGATAAATTCATCGATAAATTTCAAAATTCCAATAGTTTCCTTCAGTTATGAATGCAATTTACGAAATTTGGAGCAATATGGTATGACTTTGATTCTGTTACTGATAAAAATCATGTGTTTTCAGTGGTGTCAGTTGATAACAAACTTAATCGGTAAAGATACTGGCGTAATGCGAATATAATGCGAAATTTTATTGTGAAATTGGAGACAGCTGATGAACATTATTTCCATGGTTCAAACCAAATACTATTGTGCGATTTCGCATAGGTGAAATATTGTCTCGCATTATTGCCTCTTAAAGAGTCCCCCTCAGATGAAAAATCCCTCTGTCACACCTGCAATATTCGAATGAATTAGAAATGACTAATGCTTATCTCTCATTTGACTTTTATAAGAAAAAGCAATAAAATATTTAAGATATTAAATAACAAAAGCTTAAATAAAATTTATCGAAGGCAGGATAGCTGAATGGTTGGTCATCGTGGCGAGTCTGCGGAGTGCGTCTATGACAGAAGCGGTTTCGTAATCAAAAGGTAGATGAAGCAGTCGAGCAGAGGTGGCGAACCACTGCTATCTCCATGTGATTTTTTCGCAAATATTTTTAACTGTGTAAACGAGCAGTGAATGGAGCTAAATACTGGTCGCTAAGCACTTTATTAACTGCAAAATAAAAACCGAAAATAATTAAGAAACATTTTTCCTCTTAAAGATATAGCTGATTTACTAGGGAGTCACTTGAAGTACAGGTGGGTCGGCAGTATCACTCAGATTTCTGAAGGACTGGTTTACTCTTGTCGAACGTCGGACAATCAGCATTGGCGCTCCAAATTAAGCAACAGCTCACTGCTATTCTGCCTCATTTTGCTTTCTCCATTCGGCGATGCTGTAGCTCGATAAAGCGTGTCTATTGGTTGGACTCGAAACGGGCTATTCTTAGAAATTTTGCTATTAAGTCACCGATGCACCTAACTAAAAAACTATTAATATTTAAATTTAAAATAAAAATAAATTAAAAAATAAATAAATTAAAAAATTCAAATTTTCAAAATTTACAATTTCTATGTTTCTACTTTTTTCATGAGCATTCATCATTTTTGCACTGATTAACTCCTATAGGCTACTAGGAAGAAACTTTTCATGAGAGAATCACTTTGATATGAAGTAGTGAGTAAGTCACCAACTGATGTTTTTTGGATCCATTTTTTGCGCTAAAATATGAAATATAAAATAGTTCAAAAAAATTGAAATTTGAGCTCAAATTTTCTTAGTTTAGTAGCATTTTTCAGAAATTTTTGATATCAATCGCTTTTTTCCCGATCATTTTGCCTAAAAATTTTTATTTTTGTAGAAATCCAGAACAGAAATTCGAGCAAAATTTATACGATTAGAAAAAAATTTTAGAAAAAAAGTTTTACTTATCAGATAGTCGAAGAAACAAAAATTTGCAAAGAAATAAGTTCAACAGTGGCAGTACGCCTATCTCCAAAATAGTGAAGCGATCTTTCTCCACTAGTCAGTGGAAATAATGTAGGCAGCCTAACTATAAATGGATGGCGAATGTTACCCGAAAAAGGAGAAGAGGAAGGAAATGTAGTGAATTATAGTGCTTGAGGTTCTACATTTTATTCTCTGCAGCAGCAAACTTGTCCAAAAATCCGAGTTCTACCTCTCTGGTATATTTGTCCAGTGCGACAAGCCAGCGCACTGAGTTCACTATTGCCTTTAAAAAAAAAAAATTATGCCCAAGATGCAAAAATTAGCTTTTTTAATGTTAGGTTGCTTATTTTTGTATCCATTCTTATAGGTTCTTAAGTGATCAGCTCCAAACATTTTTGGTTATGCTAGCTCGTTTATTCTTAATGCAGTAAGGAATTTCAGCCGAGTAGCCATTTGGCTTAAAAAATAGAGATGGACCACAAGTTTTTTATTTTCACTTCATTTTTCATAGATTTATTGTTGCAAGAATTGAGCCACTGCTCATTCGGCTATTCTAACTCTTGCCTCTTGTTGCCTCTTTACGGAAGCAAATTTGCCAATTTCGTTATTTCCTTATACTAATCCTTCGTAGATATTCTATTTTCCCAACAATAATTCCGATATTTTCAGTTAAGATGAATTTATTGGGGAAGAAAGTGAGAATTTTGCATGAAAATGAAAATTATCTTATAAAATGAAATTTAGAAAAATGAAATTTTTACGAATTGATGGGCCGTTTTGTTTTCGTTTCTTAGAATTTGTGCAGAAATCTTTATTTTAAAATGGCCGGAAGTATGCCTTCTTTAAAAGATATTCTGACGCGACCAAGCTCGAAAATTGTTTTTAATGCTCCGTTCGATGAGAAACACATCTATTATATTGAGGTTTTCTTTCTGAATTCTATTAAAGTTAGGGTTGGAGTGGGTTCAATTTGCTCTTTTCACGGGTAAATTCCATGAATGATTCACTGGAAAAAGTGCAAATCTATAGATTGCGAATATGGGAACTCATCGGATTGCATTCGCGATAAAGACAACGAATTTGAAGCGTTTTGACGTGAAACCGTGTTATGGAATTTTAAATCCGAAAGAAACAACAGTTTTGGCAGTCTCATGCGAAACATTTAATCCAGCTAGCGAAAATTTGTGCGGTGAACGAATTACCGTGGAATGGACGAAAATACCACGCGATGCGAGCCAGGAGTTCAGCACTTCATGGTTCCGTGATGACGGTGCGGTATGCCGGAAGATTATGCCGGTCGAGTACAATCTTTAATAAAATTTAATTTGTTCGACAAAATTGCAACAGTATTAATAGTGCAATAAAGAGAGTTTGGCAAAAATTGCCACAAAAATCGTCGAATTATTGCTAAGTGTCGTTAATCGTTATTAACATGACCTTTGCCATTTTGCCATAATTCTTTGGCTTTATTTCCCATCTCGATTAACCTCTAACAAATTTTCGTCATCGTCCGATCCGATTAACCAGCAATCCTAAGCTGCTAGTCTGCATCACCGCGACATTTCTCTTCGAATTGTTCTACGTCTCTTCTCATTTTTCGACTTATTCCGGTATTTTTCCCAACTATTTTTTCCATTATAATGAATTTTCTTAAATTTTCCGCTTTTTCGATTCCAATCGACTATTATAATATTTTGCACTCTTAAATCACAAATCTAAGCGTATCTCCTCTTTATTTTCGAGAAGGAACGGATTTGTGTCGTTTTACGAATTATCTCTGTTGTATTCGCTTTTCAGTAAGTTTTCCTTTAATTCCTCTTCAAGTACCGCGATTGATTCCATTTTCCTGCAAATATAAGCATTTTTTGTTCATAGTTCCATCAGTTTAAATTCTTTCAAGATTTCTCCACATTTTCTCTTCCATTATTTCCTTAAGGAAGCGTAAGAAATAATTCATAAAATGACTTAATATGTGATGAAAATAGTGGAAGGGAGAATGGACGAGTGGCATATTACTTCAACTAAGGTCAAATCGTCACAGGTCCAACTCCTAGAATAAAACTGATCGGCCATTGATAGTGAATTCGAGTGCTAACGAGCTCATTTTCGCGGGATCACTCCAGTCTCATGCAACTAGCGAGCAAGTCATCGAGTGCAATACGCGGAAGGGTCGACGCGTTGCTCCCACGACCCTTCCGCACCCTCTATCCTCGGCGGGTGACTCCCTGGAAAACCTAATATTCAGCCTAACAATCAACAGAATTAGCCAAAACAGCCGAAATGGTGCAATAAAAAAGTTATTAAACTGCATCTATTTGAATTTCTTTTCAAATTTTATCGGTTGTTTCCCATTTTTTTTAACTTCCCCGAATTTCCAAATTTCACAACGAATGTATCGCTTTTACAAAAAAAATTTTTTCAGTAATATTAAAATATCGAACTTCCGATTTTTAGTAAATTGTTTGTGGTTCATCACCGTTAATAAACATTCATCGAAGGGAAAAGAAATTAACTGATTTGTTTTTTGTTAGATTAACGATGGATAAGTAAATGATTTGTAGCAACCTTTTCGCTCGCTCTATTGTCTGCTTGCGCGAGAAGTTTTGTTGGTCGCTTATCAGTTGGAAGCAATGGGAATACGGTTGGTTTGATTGCGACGTCGGTTTTTTAATGATGGCTTTGTTCCGAACGTTGGCGCTGCAGGTAATGGAAAAGCAACGACTCCCATAGAGCAGCGATTCCCAGTCTTTTTCTCCGAGGACTTCATAAGGACTTTCGCTTTTGTTAGCTAGGCGACCTTTCAGGCATTTATGGTATTAGAATTAAAATAGAAATCTTTGATATATTGTTACGTTATTTTATGGTACTATAAAACCACTGGCTTAGATGTACAGTGAATGATTGTGGACAGAAAAATTTACTGTGGATCAAAGGAATATTTTAAAAAAGACGGTAAATCGTGGCTTCAGTTAATATTTGATGCGGTCTTTTATCTTGTTACCAATTTTGTTTAGTATTAAAAATCACGAAAAGATTTCTCAAAATTGTTTGAATGCGATCTTTGAAATGAATAAGTATAATCTGTTGCTTAGTCCACATGTACTGACATTAGCAAGGATCATCTATTCTCTGGACTTGAAAATGAGATTACTGGTGAATTGTAGAGAAAATCCAACAGGGTTTTTAGCACGTCATAAGATTATGGAACTTTATATCTAAAAGGTTTTTTGGTCAATTTCACTGATTTTGGTGTAAGTTGCTAGCATTCAACATATTTGACTGGGTTCGGATATTAGATTGAGACAAATTTGCCAGGGAATCACCTGAGAGAGAGAGAGAGCTGCGAATGGGTCTCCAGCTGCACCTAAACTTATTGATGGACTATTAAAAATCTACTTCTGTCTTCTGCCAGAGGTGGAACCACATTTTTATATGCTAATACTGATTTATTTTTATGACCTTTTTCTTCTTTTTTAGCTGTTAATCTTTGTAAACAAGCACTTTTGCTGAGAACTCGAAAAATGTTTGGTGAGAACGACGAGAGAATGAAGTATTTGATCGAAAGAGACATAAACAAAGTAAGGTTATTGGAAATTTCTTGCGGAGATCCACCTTGCGTAAATTTTCCTCGATTAGTCGCCATCATTTCACACTTCTGAAGAAATTGAGCGTGGAACTTACAACTTTCCACTTTTGTTGGTATCTCAAAAAATTTTCATTTTAGCAGAAAATTAAAGCTAACTGAAGCGTTGATCTGATTAACCAAACCGAAATTTGATATGCAACCCATATTACCTGTGAAAATTCGAAATTATTCATTAAGTAATGAATCCTATAATTATTCTTCGATTAAATAGGCTATTTTAGTCAAAAAATCCACAGGTAATCTTTATTGCTCTCATTTGATTTGATACTAATTCTTTTTAGTGCATTATTCGAACTTTAAAGGCACGCATGTTTCCTGCAGACGAGGATTTTGCACGAACTTTAAGCCATATGGAAAAGAGAAAAGCAAATCACAAAGTTCCCCTTAACGTATCCGATGATGATCCAGTGTTTTTAAGAGTTGAAGATGTTTTCGTGCAAAAGACGAATTTTATCGCAAAAGAACCAAGTTGCAAACGAGAAATAGTGAAGCTTCATGAAAAAGTTCGGATGAATCAAGGATCAAGTAAATCAGTCAAACAGGTATTTCTTTTTGTATTTCTTTTTATATGATTGCCACTAAAATCTTTTTTTATTTTTATTTGAGCTTTAGCTTCCAGTAAATTTGTTTTATCAACTTCAGTACCATCCTCTGCTTTAGTAATTCCCGAGTTCCGAGCTAAAATTTTAGATAATTGTAGTTAATTCGCAAAAAAACGGAAGGCGACAATATATTGAAGCCATGTACCAGCAGCTCAGATAGAACCAGCAAAAAGGCAACGATCTCTTACGAACAAGAAACTGATTGTGATCCCCAGCAGCAACAAATTGTACGTCAAATGTCCAGTCATCATTCAAATGCAGTTATTGAACATCCTCTGCAAGATAAACAAATTTATCAACAACGACAATTTTCATACAAAATACCAAGTTACACCAGTCAGCCAAATGCAGTTCTTGGGCAGTTGAAACAAGTTGTTCACATTCAACAGCATTTTGCGCCTCAAATAGCAGTTCAGGCCATTCAGCAGCAGAGTTCAGCTTTTTCAAATCAAAGTACTCAACAAAAGGGATTTCGAAACCAACTGCCACACCAAATTTATCATTTCAATGCATCTAAAGTGGAGCTAAAAAATGTTACACGCTACCCACACTTACCATCATTTCAGACTTTTCATCGCGACACAGTACATCAGGAACCAAGCCGAAATGAAAAATTCATTCAACAACAACATCTACATCAGATGAGTTATCGCACCGATCATTTGAATGCTATTCCTTTCCAGTCAAAACGACCCAATCATCGACAACAACAACAATTTCTAAGCCAAGCAAGTCAAATTTCTGATCAACAACAACAATCAAATTGTATGCCAGAAATGAACCAAAATTTGCATAATAATCGCCCACTACCACCACTACGGAATCAGAATCAGATGTAGTTTTGCTTGCCCAATAAATCGCAGCCGCATTATATCCATCCGCTATCATAATAAGAACATTCCAAGCGATAGTCGCAATTTAAGATAAACGCTTGTTACCAATGTTTTGCAATAAAGCGGGTTCAAAGCCTGGATATATTTTGTGTCACTGATTTTTTTTCGTTGTATTGCGATTTTTTTGTATATTTTTATTCAATCCTTATTCAGAATCACAAATCGACAACAGTAATCTTCTTGTTTTAATAATATCATTTCTGGCTCTACCAGCTATTAGGGTAGGATTTCTTCTCCAATTTGGCAGCGAACTCCAGGAGGGTTTCCAGCATCATCTCGCTCTTACTATTTAATGACTGGTTTACTCCTATAAAGGGATTAGGTCGCGTTTAGGTTGCCATCCGGTTTAATTCATGAATAATATTAAAGATTTTGGAGAATCTAAAATTTATTTTTCCATTTGAAACAGTTGTTTATGCTCCCCATGTATTTATTTCTTTAGCGAATCACATAAGTAATGTATTTCCGCTCGACAATGCTGTGGCTCATTGCATGATATCAAGGTTCATATCGCAGAATTGTTATTAATCGTTGATTGCAGCAGTTTTAGACGACAGGGGCCAAACTGAAAGAATATGTGTGATTGTACTGTTTAGATAAGGTATTAAATGGTGAATTGTAATAAAGGTTCATTTGATAAATTAATGGTATACATGGCAAAGTTTTTATGCATTTCAGTTTCATTTTGTTTTAAAAAAGAATGATACAGATGAATTACCAACGCTACCAAGATTTTCTGATGATGCATTTATTCTCTTCGAAGGTAAAAGCTTGCATTTTAGCGTGAAACCTGAGCCACTGTCCAGTTGTCCACTCGCCTATCCTACCCTTTCTGGGTTTGCAGTTTAATACAGTTTCGCAAAACAGTATAGTCTTGGCTAAAAGTTGAATATTCGTTGCCGAACAGCCATCTTCTAATACAAATAATAGTCTAATTAAAAATAAGAGTTGAAAATGAAACCGCTGAAATTTTTTTGTTTTTAGTAAATTTCGAAAGCAAAAAGTAAAAACCGGCCATAAACTGTTAAACCGTGACTCTCTGGAGATTTTATGCCGAAAATATAGACTCCAATGCAAATTTAATTTGTCGCCTTGTTTCTGTGCATGCATGCCATCTCGCCGAAACGCCGAGAATATCTCACCGGAACCCAATAACGAAGATACTCAGCTTTGAAACTTGGGTCGGAAATTCAGTGATCAAAATAAAATGTGTACAGTCGAACATATTGGGGCTAAATAAAATAATGCACGTTCATTTTGGGCCAAATTTAAGGCAACGCACTGGTGAGGCAATTCCCCACTTTTTGCACTTTGTATAGATAAGATGAAGGGCTTAATGACTCTCAGATCTTTCAAAAATTCAAGTGGTGCTAACAATTTGTATAAAAATCTGGTGATTTAATGTCTTCGCATGGATGCAACACCACCTTCGAATGGTATAATAAGACTTATAATAAGATTTTCACTAATTTTTGTCGCTTAAAGTAATTATTAAGGCCTTCGCAGCAAATATGGCACCCACTGTTTCCTTAATTTTAAGAAGAATATTGTAATTCAAAAATAAAACACAACACGATTTTTTCAAGACAATTTTTCATAGGTAATGTTGAATTCTGACAGGAAAATTCGCCATTTCTCTGCAGATTATGGTATTTTGGAATAATTTTGCATTCCATGATCCATGAACGCGTGGATTCATCATTAAAATGCCATTTTTGAATTGTTACACATATGATATTTGCCGATGATCTGCAAGTATTATCTCGGGGGCCTTCTATGGGTTTTTCTCTTAGACTGGCATTTGAGATGGTGGCTTTGTGGTGGCTTTTTTTTCGTCTTTATTTATTATTTATTTGGCATGAAAATTATTCTGCCCATTCGGTCAGTTTTAACGCCAAACCAGTCATAATTTCCGCAGTTTTTTCTTCTTTCTTTGCTTGCAGCGCTCTTATTAATTACCACTCATTCCTATTTTTGTAATCGTGGCACTATACAATAGTCGTTATCGCTATAATCGCGCATAAATTTAATCTATGATGCCTTAATCTAGGCAACGTTGCCTCTCGATTATCCTGTCTCTTTAAGCCGATTCACTGCGTATATTATTTTATTTACCAATTTTTCTCGTCATTTTCCGAACCATCGGCTTAAGCCTTCATTTCTACTTTTTCACTCGAAATAACCCTTCGATTACCTCATCATTTATAATTTTTGACGACACATATTTTGTGAGACGATTTGCAATTTTTCGAAAGAGTGCATCCTTGATGTTTGAAGTTGATGCTTTTGAAAAAAATAAAATTTTTTTGTTATTATATATAGTACATATTGCAATTATTAGACATTATATTCAATTGGTAGATTTCTGCGACGGATCATAATGTCGCCTTGGAACCATTCACGATGAAACTTTTTGGATCCATCTTCTGGTGCATTTGCCCATTCGATTGTAATGCGATCGTTGGTTAGATTTTCAGTGGCAGCATTGAATGGGTCACAGGAGACTGCCATGATAATAGTTTCTTTCGCTTCCAAAATTCCACAAGGTGGATCAACGCTCAACCGTTTCACATTTGTTGTCTTCATAATCCAGCCAACACGACGACTTCCAGTATTTATGATCTAAAGAAAATAATTTAGTAAAGACTTGCATTTCTTATTTATTATTATAAACCTTAATATGATATGTATGTTTGTCGTCAAATGGAGCATTGAATACAATTTTTGCCGCTGGCTGCGTAATAATATCTCCCGGAGGAATGGTCTGTGCCATCACAGTTGAACACTTACGCATCGAATGAAAGAAATCGAAATGAAAATATTTTAAAAATTTTAATATTTATGCAAATTTTAAGAGGAAATTTTTCCTCAAAATTTGTAATCCGACCGCGTAAATCTATTTTTTAAAATTTAATTCATTATTCTTAATCAATATATTTTTATTTCATAAAAAGTAAGAAATAAAATGAGTGCGACTAATTTCCTTTATAAAAGTGCGGTGGAATGGCTCAGTGAGTTGTTGATCAATTGGGAGCGCCTATATTAAGGTTTTATTCCCCGCAGGAGTAAATCTGTGCAAAAATCCGGTGATGCTGGCGCTCACCTGTATCTCTAGCGCCAAGGGACCTCTGGTATGTTGCCCAATGCGACAAGCCAGTGGAGCGAGTTCAACCAGTTGTGGTGAGGACTTAAAAAAAACAAAAAATTTCCTTTGTAGTTTTATTTTTCATTTTGTTGGATACACAAGTGAAGTAACAACTAACATATGTGATTTCAAAGCAACAAGCTCATACATAGTGTACCTATTTATTTTTGCAATGTGATATTGAGCGGTTGCAAGTGTGCGAACATAATTATGTTGGAAAATCAAGGAAGGTATCGTAGAATCTAATTTAGCAATAATTACGAGATTAGAAACCATACCATCTCATTTTTTACATTTTGGGTGAGTAAGGTAGATATAATAAAAGGATCTCGAATGGTGCTTATTTTCTGTAATGATGCGTTTGCCTACCAAGTTGAATATGTTGTTCATAATTACAGAGGATAATTATGGGGAATAAGCGGATGCTATTTTTGATTTGAGATTTATTCGGTCGATATATGAGATGATGATATATCACTTCGTTGATAAGAAAAGTGCGCCATATTCAGGTGAAATTTATTTTCGATCCCTAACACGGACAGCCAAATCGATTCGATTTCCACCTCTATTCCAAAATTTTAATGATATTACCTAACTCCTAGTAATTTCATTTCATTTACAAATGTTTGTATAGCTATCGTTATGGAAATTTATATCGAAAGAAGGCCTCAATTAACATTTCTTTGCTCAACTTAATTAAAAAATGAAATGGAATATATGCCAGTTTGATGAATACTTTAGGCCATACTTTTATGGCTAATGTGAGCTAATAATGATGCATGATGTTCGATGATTTGGCCAACTCCTTCATTCTGATGTCTTACTATTAAATCAGATATTCATTTATACACTTAAATTTCTTAAGATCTTTCATGTGCTCGTGCATAATTTTGATTTTACAGACAATCTTAGTTGCACTTCAGATAAATTACATGAACATTTTTATGCTTAGGATTTTAGTGCACATTATTGTATTAGATATTATATTCAATGGGAAGGTTTTTTCGACGAATCATTCCATCACTCTGAAACCATTCGCGTCTGAATTGCTTTCCAGCTGGTTCCGGTATATTCGTCCACTCGACAGTGATTCGATCGTTGTTCAGATCTTCTACTGCTGCATTGAACGGCTCACAAGAAACAGCCATGATGACATTTTCTTTTGGTTCCAAAATTCCACATGGTGGATCGACATTTAATCGCTTCATATTCGTTGTCTTGATCAGCCACCCGATACGGCGACCCCCACCATTCATGATCTGTAATATTTATAATGCAATATAAATGAAAAAATGTGAAAATTCGAGGACAAGAGTCTTTTAATTAAATCGTTTGTTTGATTTTTAGATTTTAAATTTTTCAAACTTTTAATTTTACAATGAAGTATTTAGTAATTAAACTCATTTAGTAATTATAAACACACACACTGCACATTTCGATCTTGCTATATGGCTCTGAGACATGGCCAATGAGAGTGGAGGGTATTATGACTTTTCCGTCCACCGCTACAGTTGTAGCATATTTGTTTACTTGCTAAACCGTGTGATGGATGACCTCAAAAGCGAAGTGGGCCAATCAAGACCTGGTCAAGAAAGATTTTGAACGTATAGGTGAACCAGCAGTATATGGACTTAGAAGATGGGAAAAGGAATGGTCTCTATTACTGTCGACGATGGCATCAGACCGCACCGTTTGGAATCGTCTCACCCTTGTAACCTTTGGAGCCAGTCTAAAGTAATGATCAGAGCTGTTAGATCAAGAAGATACCGCAAATATGGTCTTTAGGCAAACCACTTATATCGCATTTAGACCGGTAGAAACCAACCTTGATATAATAGGTATGTTTATCATCGAATGGGGCATTAAAAACTATTTTTGTAGTAGGCTGCGTAAGAATATCGCCTGGAGGAATAGAATGCGCCATCTTGACTACCAATTAACAAAGACTAAATTAAGTTAAGCAGTATCAGACTTTTATACTTTTTTAAATGCAAATTTATGCAAAATTTTTCTTTGAAGAATAATTTTTAGACCAATTAATTTTCTTTTCGAATAATTAATAAAATGATTCAAAAAATTTTCATAAATTTTTTTATAAAAAATGACAATTTTTATAAATTTTTGATTTATGTCCTTCACATTTGATAAATCATTTGATGAAATATATTAAATACAAATTTCCTTTTCTTTTAAACCAATTTTAGATTAATTATCTCTGGAATTTTCCAATTTTTCCGGTAATAATTATTTTCTATCAACAATACTCAGTTTTTGGTTCCCTTTATTAGGATCAGACTTTTTTTACCAAACATCATTTAGAGCTAGAAGTAGATTTGGTGTTTAATGGAATCTGAAATCAAAAAATTGGCAAGGTACTATTTAATAATCCAAGTAAAAGCCATAAATCCATTGGCATCCAATAAGGTATTTCATCATAGCGTATTTAGCAGAATCGCGAATTAAGGTTTACTGCCGAAAAATATGAATAAATATTGGTGGAAGTATGAACTTAATAATGTAACTAATGTAGTATATTTTATAAAACATGTCAAAGTATTACGAATCTACTTTACGATGGATTGGAAAGCACCATACTTTGAATTTAATGGTATGAAACAGGAAATCTGCCTATGGATTGTGCATACGGCTATACTTTACACATCCTCTAGAAAAATTCATTTCTTCTCTTACGGTAAGGGTTCAAGCGATAATAAGGACTACAAGGATGTTTTTTAAGATATTTTCCTAAAATTTCCTTTCCACGACTATTTCTTTAAAGTGCCGCAAGGTCGAATCAAAGTATCGAAACAAAGTTGATAGTAGAACTTGAAATCTTTATCGGATTTATATAAAAATTCGAGAATATAATGCCAACATGTTAATTTCAAATTTTTTATTTAAATTAAAAATAAATATTAAAAATAAATATTAAAAAAATATCAAATAAAAAAAATTAAGAGTAAAGAACAAAAAAAATAAAGCATTTATGTTATGTCCACCAAACGCTAAATTTTCTAATTTTTGCATAAATCAGACATTATTAGGCATTATTATTATAACGAATTTACATAAATTGATTAAAAATAATTTAAAGGATAAAAGTGCAAGTACAACTGTGAAAATATATGCATTCAATCACGGTAATTCATTAACTTTGGCTTAATTTAAGCACTCATCATAATCAACCATCCTATGTATGCACATATCAATTTATACTGACTATACAGGTGGCGTTGGTCACCTTGCTTGGCTGCTTTTCAATAAATATATTTAAAACAGAGCAAACGAGAATGAAAAGACGTTTTTGTTTTCGAGACACCTTAAAATTGTCCGTTTTAATCCAAATTACTGCCTTGAACGTTAAATAGTTGCTGAAGAAAATAAGCGTTTAGTGGCATTGTGAGGAAAATATGTACAGCGATATGTAATCCGTAATCCGTAACAAAAAATCTGTTAAATGCAAACAAAAAATCAACAGCTCTGTTTAACATGTTTATCATTATTCCCCGTTCGCTTTAATGCCAGAATTCAACATATCATATATAGCGATTATCCATTTTGCATAGAAATTCTGGATAATGAACTAAAAATTAAAACAGCTTATTTCATAACCTCGAAAAAAACCTTTAATTATTTAAGTAAAGCGATGTCTTAAAGCAAAAGTTCTGTTCAAAACCCTCCCAATACAATTTTTTAGTGCATTCACAATTTTTTGACAGTGGAACTCTCCAATTTGTTAAGCCCTATTACAAATGAAGAAGATCGCTAAATCATCGCAATACTTTAACAGTCGTCGAATTCTATTAATTCAAATTGACACTCCCTCGTTACACTCCCAATAAATAAAAAATAAAATTTCTTCTTTCATTCTTGCAGCCTTCACAAAAATTTTTCAGCAAAATTTGGGATTCACTAGCAAAAATTGCGCCCATCGCTGTTCTAGCAATTCTATCTTTTTAAATTGATCAAGGGAACGAATTAAATTAGTAGTACTTTGATTTCTCGTTCCCTTCCACTAATTACGATATTTAACCATTTCGTATTGTACAATAAAAGTGTAACTTGAATTATGAATGAAAATACAAAAATAACCGAGAATAACAATATATTAGAAAACAATCAAGGATAACATCAATGGGATTATTGGGATTCTTCGGCAAAATAATTCAAACGTCTTAGGAAAAAAAAGGAATGGTGAATGTGGGGAAAAAAGTTCAAATGATAAAACACCATTGCCTATTTCAAAAAATTATCAGATTAGATAAGATTAAATTGATCCCTCCGTGTGTCAGAATTTTCAACCCACCGAGCATCAGTACATCAGTTAAAATATACGCAAATAAATAAAAAAAGGAATAAAATAAATAAAAAACCTCTGAAATTACATCAATTCACCCAAAAATTAATGGATCATATTTACTTCCTCGTGCTAAATCGTTCATAATTTATAGTTTTCTCCTTTTGTGAAGCATAAACAACTATCACGCATTTCAAAAATACGTTTATATAAAGTAAAATCTTAAAGGCTGACCAAAAGGTTGATCGACCAAAATGCAAGGCGCAGCAGAAAAGTAGTTCTCATCAACCACTCAACCACTCAACTTCATGAATTTCCCACTGCTGAAAAAAAGATTCATTTTCACCTTTCGCATGCGATAGAAACAATCGAATGAAGTTATCACTGGCCTAATAGCTTATCTCAGAAGTCTTCTCTTTTTTCATTTTTTCGGCTATTAAAATATTTTAATCCTTATTTCAGTCTGACAAAATCAATGCTGACCTGTGAGATGGATCGTCGATAACATTTATTCAATATTGGCACGTAAATCGACGATATTCTTCCTCCATCCATCCTTCTCATCGGCTCATCCAAACAAAGACCACTTTTTCGATGATAGAATGATTTTCTCTATATAAACTGTTCGTATTTTATTGCTAATGACATATGTGATATATGTGCGTATTTAACATATGTGCGCAATTTTGTGCAAATTTCTAACAATTGAGCTCATCACAGTCATAGTTTCGAGGAAATGGATGCCAATAAAAGGCCAATATTAGCTAGCTAATCTCTAAATTTTTTGATGTGCAGATTAATATCATATTTTGCCAATAATTTGCGAAAATCTCATTAGAAGTTAGATTAATTGAATGAGAGCAATTGAAAATTATAAAATTAGCGACATTAAGCAGCACCTTAGCATTGTAGTCCCAGAATTCATTTTCGTATCCACCGCATTCTTTCAATTGCACTGACCACTTATTCTCACTATTTATTGGCTGATATCCACTTAGGCATAAATGTTCATCTGTTTTGATCTTCCCATCACCACTGTATAACCATAGCTTAAAATTCTAGATATTAGAAGATAGAAACAATTGCATAGCTTTCCTGAAATACTCTTTTAAGTGATGGCTGATGAAAGAACCTTGTACATCACTTGTTAGTCAAAAATGATGTGCTTTTCACCTGCCATAAATCGAAGCCCAGTGAACATTGTGACATAGTTAAGCTTTGCGCGTTTTTGCCTGGATCACCTGGTCTTGCTACGAGGCAGTAATTTGAGCGTACAAAAGCTATCTGAAGAAAATGTGGCAATTAAAATCTGACCTGGGTTCGATCAAACTTTTTTTCTGATGAACAATTGTACATTGATGCGATTTTTACATTTTCACCAAGAGGTATATTCCATCGCAAACATGACAAGGCTCGCACAGATTTGGATTTCAAATGAACTATCTGCATAAAAATCTTGCTAAATCTTAATTTTCAAAGACGGATTAGCTCATATATTTTTAAATGCATCACTGAAAGGGTAATTTAGCCGAGCCGAGAATTTTTTCTTATAAATCTCAGAACGTTCATTCGTAAAGGTAAGCCTTGAAGAGGGATGGCAATCATTTTAAAGTTTATAGTTTCCATCGGCTTCTTTTCTGGGAGTTCCTTTTCTTTCTTCTTCGCCCTCTTGTGGAACTGCATGAATTCAAAAGAAACGAACCCTCCCAAATGTCGAGTTGGATGTAGGCAAAAAATGATCTTTCCAGACATTTTCAAGATACCATTTGAAGCTTTTACAGTTTAAATGCTTGCGGAGTTCTATTCGATCACTAACATCGGTAGAGTTTCGCATTTTCAAAGCTTCTGCAATAAAAATCATCTTTATATCTTAATCCATGGTACCAGAGTCATTTAGTTAGCATCGTTATTCATTGTCATGTCACTAAATAAAATTTCAATTTCAAAATGACACCAAAAATTTATAGTGAAATTTATATGTGAAAATTAATAATCACAAATAAGTAAACAACGAACTTACGTGGAGCTGTTTTATAAAATAAATATTTCCATTCGTCCATCCAAACTTCGGCCACTCTAAGTAAATTTTTATTTAATATTTTCCCCGAGCTTTTTCCTGGGAAATCGTGTGGAGAGGCTTTTCGAAAGATATGACCAACGTGAGAGCAAGGAAGAATCTCAATGCGACCACCACACTGCCATATCTTTGAAATTTAACCTCATTTTGGACATTTTTCTTTAAAATTATGAAATTAAAACGAAATTTTGTAACTATAGTAATTTTAATATTCATTAAATCAATTTTGTATTGTACTTGGATGAAAAATGGTCGCTCCAGTTTATCGAGGGCCAGAGGTTCATTTTCTTGGTAATAAGAATTAACTTTCTTTTTAACAATATAGATTAAATCTATTACTAAAAACGTGTGCGATGAATGGCCTACCTTTAATACTACCAAGTTACTCCCTGGCAAAAATTTCCAGTCGCATTAAGATAACCACTCATTTGCTTATTTTGCACTGGATAAGTGGATTTTTAATCAAGCCCACATTCAACTAAGCTCTTTTTGAGATTAAATACGCCTGATCAAAGATAAAGGAAAAATTAATTTCTAAGGCCTTTCACAAGATATTGATGATTGTCGTGCAATCTGTGAGAAGTATGTCCAATCCTTACAAGTGCATAAAAATAGCTCATATTTATTTTACGCTATCCTTATATATGCTATTATCTTACATTTTATTCGTTATATTATTCGTTGATAAAAGAAGATGAATCTTATTTTATCTTATTAGGTCAAATATACTATTAGCTGAAAATCTGACTCTGAATGAAATCTCAATATTCTCGCCTCCCCAAATATCCATTCCAGCATCGTATGTGCCAAGTTCTTCAAAATAGTGCCTATCGATGCTAAATAATCCACCAGCCATCGTTGGTGAACTAAAGAAAATTCATTACTGCTTTGAGAAATCCATTAAAATTGGTTGAAAAAACAAAAACAATGAAGCAAGATACTCGATTGGCTTTGTAGGATCTTTGCTTCGGTTTTTCACCATATCTGGAGGCACGACATACCAACGAAATTGAAGATTCCAATTAAAACCACCTCGGAACAATTCAATTCCTCTTTGATACGCAAAAGTACGGTCATTAATTACGTCAATAATTGGGCAAACTACTGCTTTCCTCAAAATTTATTTTCCACTTTTTTTATTTTTATTCGACAGCAAAGGAAAGCTTTTTGAAATTTAACATTTTGATTAAATAATTTTCCTTTACCATACAATTCATCTACCTATTTTCTTTTATTCGAGTTAAGAGTGGTTCTATCCATCCTTTCGTACACTCGCAGTGTGAATCAAGGAAGGTTAAAACATCGCCCCGAGCTTCTCTTGCCCCAATTAAGCGTGCCCTTATGAGACCAATCCGTTCTTTGGCGCGGATCACTTTGATATGTATTCCAAGCTGTATTACATAGCGATCGAGTTCATCCTTTAAGAATGCTGAAAAATTTTGTTATAAATGACTGATGACTTATAATATGGCAAAAGATTTATTGACAGTGGGAAAATTTGTTGGTGTGGAAGGTCAATGAACATAGAAATCATCGAGCTTTTAGTGCTTACTTCTTGTGCTAAAATCATCAACCAAAATAATTTCCTCCAAAACCTCTTTAGGCGTTCTATTTATAACACTCACTACAGTGCGCATTAGTGTTGAGAAGGCTTCATTATGATAGACAATAATTACGCTTGTGGTCGGTAGTTCCGATGGTGCTGAAATTGAAAAAATGTTCCAAGGCAATAAATATTTCATATAAGTTATATAAAAAATTTTAAAAATGCTCTTCTGTTACAAATCGAAGTATTTCAACAATTTTAAATGAGTTCTCTAGAGAGCCGCAGATTCATTTAAATGAATAAAAATAATTCTTTTTTTATTTTGGATCGAAAGTGGAAATTTGTAGTTTATGCGAGTGGTTCGCTACGTGTGGTTCGTGGGCCTATTTTTTATCTTAAGACCTTATCATTACTGGTTAGACTCGCTCCACCGGCTTATTGCACTAGACAAATTTGTTGGCGATAGAAATACAGGCTAGTCGCCAGCACCACCCGGATTTTTTGACAAGTTCACTTCTGCTCGGAGTGGAAACTCAAGTCAGTGGACCTATAAGGATCATTGGACTTCTTTTAGGGTACCCCCAGGGTAAATCATTTTTATAATGATCTTAAAGTGCCTTTTTCACTCTTTTCTAATGTGGAATAAACCGAGGCTTAGCATTAAGAAGTTTGGATTTTGTAAACGAAACTTTATGTGAGAAGTGGTCAAATAAATTATTTAATAAACTGCAATAAATTTTCAATTGCGAAATTTCGCACCTTAATTTCTTGGTACGGTTAATATCGTTAGGTACAATCGTAGATAACAGAAAGTTCTTTGGAGGTGTTCGGAATTCTAAAAGGATCCTAGCAATAAAAAGCTTAATAGCCACTGGTCCATATTAATATTTTCCTCTCAAATTAACTATGAGATTTGAAAAAACTGCGGAAACGTTTACTATATATGATTTTTGGAAAAAACACAAGAAAATTACCTAAGTAAATTTTTCGTTTGCAATGTTGTCGCCGAACGTCCGGCAAAGACCTGTTTACAGGTATTCGATCACTGATCATAAGATTAAACTATAATTTTTTATGAGAGAATTTTTTTCTCCGGGAATTTTCAAAATAATGGAAAGTTTTTTTTCTTTTGAAAAGGTGGAAATTTAAGCCATTTATGTTTATGCATCGCCGAATTTCAATTTTTTTTTCTTCGTGAATATTGAAAACTGGGACGAAATTTAGAAAAATAATATGCATACAAGGTTTATAAGGCGAAATTTCAATTATTACTTGATTGATGCCAAAAGTGTTATCCGATAAGCGCTCCTCATAGTCGTTTAAGTGAACACCATTACCATTTGCTCCAGCATCAGGAACAGGAGAATAATTGTTCGCATTCAGCTGTTCTAAAAATATCTTTCCTGTAACATTTTTTCTCAACGAATTAATTTTACTTTTAATGTAATATTATACATCCCAATTTTCAGACATAAATCGATCATAATTGAGCGGAGATCGAGTCAATGGTGCTAGCTCAAGGCTGTACATTTCTGAAAAATATTTCGATTGTTTCGGTGTTTTAAATCTAAATTCTCCTTCATCTATCAGTATGATAGTTGTGATTTGGTTGGCTCGACTGGTTATTAGGGGAAAGCTCTTTTTACTTTCTCCTAAGTACATTTCAATAGGTAGAAATGAAATCAATATTCATTCCGAACATTTCACTGAACATTCTACGCTTATTGCACTCCACTTGAAAATCAGAATAATTTTTTTGCTTCCATCAAAATTTAAAACATTTTAAGATTTGGTAGCGGCATTTCTCAAAATACTTAAAATGTTAAAAAAATTTCGAATAATTTTTGAGCACCATCTGTTAGATTCGAAAGTCTTTCAACTGGCAAATTCCCATTATAATGGCCAACAATAACTTGGACACCTCTTGTGACAAAAGCTTCGCTGCTCTCGCCATCTCCATTCGATGCTATTAAAAGCTATAATGAATTTCTATTAAAATTCTTGCAAGCAGATGAAGTATGAAGTCTTGAATATTCATTGTCATCATGATTTTCTTGAATCATAGTAATCAATATTTTGATTATTACTACTATAATTGTTACTACTGGGTCAAGTATTACGGTGCAATGCAGCCAAGTAAATAGATTGTTGGGTTTCAAAAGCTGTAGTAAATTTGTCGTTAAAAAATCTGCATAACCGACCATTATTTCTATAGCCTAATAGCTTAATAGTGAGAAGAAGCTAGCCTAACCAGAAATAGTGAGTACCAACCACTTTATTATCATAGATTGAACTCCTAACCCTTAATTCAATTTGCCATTAGAACTGAAATCTGAGTAATGTCCGGGACCTATCTGTGTTTTAATCACTAAACGACTCTTTGGCGAAGAATATTCATCTCACTAGCCAATAGAATTATTGCAATGATATTTGAGGCATCGAAAAAATCCTAACGGTGCAATAGTTGGAAATCCGAATATTTGCAAAATAATTCAGCGAAATAAAACAATTAGAAAATTATAGACGTAGAAAATTAGCACTATCTTATCGTATTACTATTATAATGAGTATTATATATTTAACATTATTATGACAAAAAGTGAGTGAATTTAAAATAATATAGTGTACCGTTTCTTGAGCCATTAAGATTAATATTGTTATTATGCACCAACATGCGAGAAATCCAAAAACAAATAGGCAACCCAGTAAGAAATTTCGAACTCTTCTGCGTCGAGCAGCAGCTAATTTTCCAACACTTCTTAAATTCATTCGTGAAGTCCATTGAATAATAATTGAAGAACAGAGCATGATTAAATATAGATAACCAAATGCGAGTGCAAAAATTGCTTCAATCCTCGAATCAATTCATAACATTTCTGAAAATAAGGCAAGAATTTTAGCCAAAAGAGAAAATCTATTTAAATTCATAAAGGAAGTTATTTCAAATAAGGACATGCAAAATAAGGATTTTGACAGAATGATCAGATTAAAGATTCGTTAATTTTACTACGATATTTGAAATTTTTATATTTATATTTATATATTAGAGATTAATGGAAAAATAACCGAAGAACTATGCGACTAAACAGAAAAAACAATAAAATTGGAAAAGCATTCATAAAAAATTATGCAAATTGGTTCTCGATCTTCGGCTAAAAATAGGCAAATGCTTGGGACCTTTTTGGAAATGTTATTTCATGTTATAACTCTCGAATCAAATAACTGCATTTGCTAAGGTATTTAAATATGGTTAATAAGACAAGAAATATAAATACAAGTGAATGTATGTATTTTTTACCACACATTATTTAAAAGGATTAAGGGGCAGAATAATCAAGTGATTGTTGTTTAGATTTCCCCGTCGAACATTAACATTATATAGTGACCTCTCCTCCACTTTTCGGAAATGAACCTGTCATTGAAAAAACGGCTTTATTTGGGAGGTATCCTTGCATTTTTATTTTCCTCAAATAACGCGCTCTCATCTTACTAATAACTAATAGAGCGAATCTAACCAGGAGAGGTGGGCGTAGGCCACTTACTTATTGTTTAAAATGGCTAATCATGTTATTATACACCTAAAATGCCTCTTCAAAAACAAAACGTAAAGGAAAAACAGTGGCAAATTTCGGCGAAATAATAAAAAACAAAAGGAATCGGAAAGGAAATTTGGTCAATACATTTAGTGCTGATTAAACTGGTTCAGAAAATCCGTTTGTCCTACATATTAAATATGATGACTGAAAGAAAACATGCATTGAAATTCTATATGTTGGTATTGTATAATAATTGTATAATTGTATAAATAATTGTATAATAATTTACAACTAAGAAAAAGACGAAAAAAAATACAAATGCACTTGTAAATGACTACGTCTAGGCCATGTTACAGTATGAGAGAGAAAGCGGGACACGATAACGCAAGCAAGACTCCAGTCTGCAATCTGTCGACCCATCGTTGCTTTTTTGCGAACTCTAAAGTACGCTGTTTAAATTAGTTTTATTAACGGGGTTTGAAGAGAAGAGCCTATAATAAGTTTGTCTATGGTTGTGATTCTTAGCCATAATCATTTTAAATATTAATAGCAAATGAATAATGAAAAATTCGACAAAATCGCTCCTTTACTTCGGAAAACAGCTGATGAAACGGTTAGCGTGAATCTTGAAAGCATTAATTTATTAATTCATTCAGCAAATGCACAAAAAAGTCTGCCTATGACAATAGTTCTAAAACGCATTCTCCAAGAATTTCTTTAGACTCTTAAAAACTATTAAGAGAAACTCTTGAAAATTGATAAGGACCTTGTAAGATCAGATCTTTCGATATGCATTTTATTAAAAAGATTTTTAAATATTACTATAAAAATATTAAATTCTATTACTATTCCACTATTACTACTTGCTACATTACTGTAGTACTATGAAAACCCACTGAAAAGTCTTTCTGAGAAGTTCCACGGCCCCACTTTAAGAATGTTAGACCTGTGCTATGAGAACCAATAAAAGAAAATAAAATAATTCATGGAAAAGGATTAGATGATATATTTTATGTCCAAAATCCTTTTCCATGGAAATTTTTCTCTTCTTTTTTCTCTTCTTATTATTTAATATAATAGCAGAAATTAAATGAATTAAATATTTCTTCATGCGACATAAATAATATTCTTAGAGCAAAAATTGCAGCCTACATAAATAGAAATTCTGTGGAGACCCGACGTCCTTGTACGAACGCATCAAAAATTGGGTTGAGCGGCAGCAATTCGATAGATGTGCCATGACAAACGACCTTGCCTCGGCAATCGCCATTTTCATTATCAAATGCACAATACTGCAATAAAGAATTCCTCATTTTTCGTCGAATTAAAGTATCTTCGAAAAGTTTTTACCTTTATTTCCTTAGAAAAAAGTTGTTCAAAAGCTTTTCCATTATTCGCTATTTGGATTAAAAATAATAGTTGTAAAAATTAGTTTTTGCAGCGATGGTGCTCGCCTACCACGCTTTAATATTTTAGAGGCCTGGTTTGGACAGTAATTGAAATTATATTGATCACCGCACGTATTAAAATAAAAATCTTTATTCGCCACCTCAACTTGGGTAATTGAACCAATTAATATATAGATAGAAAAAGTAAGTTTCGATTAAATCAAAGAGACAGAAGGGCGAACCAAAAGAATAAAAGGGATAACGGATAAATTAATAAAATGGATGTTTGAATATTAATATTAATACTGGGACCCAACCGTTCGGGCCCCTTGATGGCGCCTAAAAAGAGCAGAAGAACGGTTTTCATAAGAAGAGTATACAACATGTACTGTAAATTGTCCTTTGTGTTTATTTGACATATAAAGTGCAATAAACAATAAATCGATTAAGTTATGAAAGGGTTTTCGGTTTTCTTTGGCGGGTCGGGGTCATCGGGGTTTGAAATAATAATTTTAGAAAAGACATCGTATTTCGCGACAGTATTAAGGGTAGAAATGAGCAAAAATTGCGCAGGAAAGGATTCTTTGTTTCAACCGTGGTTAAAAATGGAAATCTCTTGATTTTAAGAGACTTCATCAGTTATTTTTTAAAAAAATAGAATATCTTATCTTGCAAAAAATTAGCGAATCAATAGTTTAGGTGTTCAGTGGATTTAATATAATTTAATTTTCTGTCTGGAACTTTTTATTTAATTAACAAACTGACTAGTTTTAAAAAATAGAAATAATTATGGCGAAATGAAGAGGCATCTTCGCTAACCGTCAAATGCTTGTTTAAGATTAGAAAAAAAATAATCAAAAAAATTCGAGCCTTAATTTTTGAACGTGCACGGCTAGATTGTGCAAATAAGTGGAAAATTTATAGCCAAAAGAAGAGTTGGAGATTTCCATTTTTAACCACGGATCCGCCAAGTGCCGAAATCATGTCACTCGCAAATACATGCCACTTGACCATTATGTTTGAGGGTATAAATTAAAAGCAAAACAAAATGATTTTAGAAAAAATTGAAATATTGGAGCAAGAATAAGAAGATAAGCTTTATAATAATTTCTATGAGTTATCAGTACCTCTTAAAAACTTTTCTAAGCTGCTGAAATCTATTTCATCATAATTTCTATGAGTTATCACTATCTCTTAAAATTTTTTGTAAGGTGCTGAAATCGATTTCCTCAAGAAAAATAAGCATTTCGAACCAATAATTTTATACAATTTTTCTATTGTTTGTTTAATTTTAAATGGAAGATCACCATTACTAGCTAAGTCCGTTTCGCTGGCTCCCTACTTTGAATGAATATCCCAAATAGTGCATTGATTGTCGATAGTGATAAAAGTGAGTCGTCAGCATCACTCGAATTTTTCCAACAAGTTAAAATCTTTCATTTTGAATGACCAGACGAAAACTTATCTCTACTTTTGTCATCAATTGACTTTCTGGAGATGCGCTTTCCTCCTGTATTCAGTGAGAAAATTTTGTTGCGCATATCCTTGAAAAAAGACGAAAGAAGGCTAACTACAAATAATTGTATAGAAAAAACTATAAATGTAGTATTTTTTATTCCAAACTGTAGATAGCATGAAATGAATTAATGAATATGAGTGACTTATTTCAAGGCCAATAACTTCGGAAAAAGGAAAATTCGAAATTCGTTTAAAAGGTGAGGAATAATGAAGGTTTGTTTTTTGTTTTATACAGTTACAATGCATTGTGCATTGAAGAAATCGGTGCAAAAATTTAGGAAACTTAATGCTTAGTGAGCAAGCTCTTCATGCTTTTTTATACCTCAAAAATCTTTGGATTAGTTTAAGGATGCTCGATTAATTCAAGAAAAAGATTACAGATAATTGATTTATTAGTTCAAAGGAATTGATTATTCAAAAAGAAAAAATTAAGGATCTCTGTTAATTTGAATCTCTAATAAATAAATAAATAAAAAGTTGTAATAAATTAACACATTAATGTTAAATAATAGGCTTAATAATAGAACGATTAAGCAATGTTCCGATAGAAATAAATAAATCCGAGATGATCTAAAATTTCATCCGCAAAAATTTCAGCAAAGATTTTGCAAAGATTTTTAGATTTGCGAAGGCCCTGCATAGCTATCGTAAATTCATCTTTTTTATTTCATTCACCATGACAATATTTCTTAAATTTCATTTTCTTAAGATTTTTCTTACTTCTAATTTTTAAAGGTACATTAATGCAATTAGACAATTAATTAGCCATTAATTTTAGACAATTAGACAATTAATTAGCCACGATTCATTTTTCAATTCAATTTTTTCATTTAAATTCATTACCAAAGTTCACTTCCTTCTAAGAACATTTCTGGTTTGGCTAGCTTCTAAACTGATTATTAAATATTAGTGGAAAAGCACCTTTCGCTACATACCTGTCTGGTGATGGAGATGCAGTTGTATTCTTGGTGATAACGAATGCCCACCAGGACTTTGTTTCTAATTGTAGGCTTGTTTTCAAGGAATGAAAATTGAACTCTTGCTGATTGCTTATTATTATGAATGAAAGATAGGAAAGGAAGGACTATTTTTTTCAAGAATCAATCCTTGCTTCTACATTATTTTCATTATTTTTTACATTTTCTTGCTTCTTTTTTTTACAGTTCTTTTTTTAGTTATATTTTATTTCAGTTATTTTACAGTTATATCTTATTTCAGTTTGATAAGCATAAATTTTTTGTAAATCGACTATATAAAATTGGATAAATCACTGGTTTGTATTAGGCGATGCGACGAACCATTATAACATTATTTTTATGCGTCGAATTATTTGTGCGAGCCAATTAACATAAAAATAAAAATTATA